AACAATTTTATTCAAACAATAATTACAGTAATTGACGGTTTGATCTTCAACAACAGGAGCTATTCAAATATATTATTTTAAACAAGACAAAAACTTGTTCTAAGATGCATTACATGATTTGATCAATTAGAAGAAAGAATATTACTATAAATAAATCGATCGAAGAATTTATATGCTTATTAGACATTTAAATTTTGTGTCATCAAATGGACAGTAGCCTAATCCATAAACACTCGTATAATTTTTTTGTGCAAGCGTTTGCATGGGGGATCGATACAATCCATATTTGAATTTATTTACATTTTGTATGTATAATAAAAATTTCTATTTTTGTTTTTAAAATGATTTTAAAGCTAATATGTTGATTTTTTAATATAAAACAATATCTTTTAAACGTTATAAATTAAAAGTATTCCAAAAATATTTTATAAAAAATATTTCTTTACGTAATATATATATTTAGTAAGTAAATAAACTTTGTAAGAGTAAGTATATAACTTTGACAGTGCTTACACAATTTAGTTATCTACACCTATTATCTGTTTACACCTATTTGCGGGCTTAACGTGACAAATCGCAGTACCCTTCTGGGCTCTAACATCGTTAACAGATAAGAAAAAAAGCTTTCGATTCTCCCTATGTCGGTATCGACAATGAAACAAAAAAAGGATACAAAAATAGTCCTATCACACATATCAAATTTAAAAGAACGATTGTTCTCTATTATATGCAATTTACAAAGACAAATAATTAGTCGATTTGGGTATGTCTGGAATTCTACTCTAGCTAGTAATGCTAGTATTGCCCTTGCCAATTGCCATTCCATTCCACGTTCCACGGTGTTCCACTTTATTTCACCAACTAGCTGCAGCAGCTACCTCTGTTTTAAAACGTCATTGTCATTTCAGCGGTTCAGCCATTCAGCTGAATGTTTGCTCGCGAATGTGATCTCTCTGAATAGGCGCTCATCAATCGTTAACCGAAGGTGATGATAAGAGAACATCCGCAGTAATGGCATCGGCACTGGAGCAGTTTGTAAATAACGTTCGAACGCTTTCGAAGCAAGGTACGACCGACTTGCGAAAGCGTGGAACTTAACCTCAAAACGCAAAAGCAAAAAGCGAAATAAACTTTAAGGCATTCCCAACGTAGAGAACTTCCTTTGAAAAAATGCTTGGATTTTTTAAAATTCACTTCATGTATTTAGTAATAACAGCTTAGATAATATTTAGAACAAACGAATTATTTCGTTAACACTATATAACCTGTTTGTATATACAGGCAATTTTAGAGAGCTGTATGACATCATAAGTAAAAGCGTCGAAGTATTAACGAAAAATGGACAACACTTGGATAATGTTTTGGAAACGTTAGATCTGCAACAACATTCGTTAGGTATCTTGGCAGTGCTCTGTGCAAAATTTTCATTGCCTAATCCTAACGGCGGAAATAACCCTGATGCACATAAACTCTTGTTCAATCAAGTTCAAGAATTTATTATTGGCTGTAATGGAGAACAAGTTAGATTTGCACCAGATACATGTGAGTATATTCAGTCTTTGTTATGATCTCATTGAAGCATTATTATTTATATATATATATATTATATATACACACAAGTTTATTTTAACTGCAACTCTTAGAAATCGCTTGTCAATTTTAAAATCTCTTCGAAAATTATTTTTTTGCTAACAAATTTTATTTAATGAAATATTCAAAATTGAGTTATACATAAATTTGTATAATTATTTAATTTTGAAAATTTTGTAAAATCATACATATTGTAATTATGAATTTTAATGAATTCAAAATTGGCAAAAACAAGCACACACATACACATACACGCCATATTTATTTACAGTATTGCATGTCTAATATTAAATGTTTTTACATACATTTATTTTATCAAAATTTTTAGTTTGGTAGATGTTGAATTTTCCAAATATATTAATGATACTTGATTAATTTAATGTCTAATTATAGTTATTCTTCATTTTTTTATATGCGACATTAATAATTCTTTTTATAGACGCAGACTTATGTCACCTATTTACACAAAATTTAGTCGAGTCAAAAATGCCATTACATGGAATCCAAGTATTATGCCGTGCAATACGCAAAATACAACTTTTTGACAATCAGCTGACCTCAATACATGCGGACCTTTGTCAATTATGTCTTCTATCCAAGTGTTTTAAACCAGCACTTGAATTTCTCGATAGAGATGTCACAGGCATCAGTCAGGAAGGAGGCCAATTTGACTCAAAATATTTTCTATTGTACTATTATTATGGTGGTATGATATATATAGCATTGAAGAATTACGATCGAGCATTGTATTTTTTTGAAGTATGTGTGACGACACCCGCGATGGCAGTTAGCTACATCATGCTAGAGGCCTACAAAAAGTACATTTTAATCTCCCTGATATTACACGGGAAAGTATTAAATCTACCGAGATACACGAGCCAGGTGATCAACAGATACATCAAGCCATTAAGCCAGCAATATCAAGAATTGGCTACAGCTTATTTAGTCAATAGTTGCGAAGAAGTACAGAACATTATTACTAAGTATCAGCAAGTATTTGTGAGGGATCATAACCTGGGACTTGTAAAACAAGTGCTTGCTTACTTGTATAAGAAAAACATACAGAGGCTGACTAAGACTTTCCTGACGCTTAGCTTAAGTGATGTTGCGAGCAGAGTACAGTTGTCAGGTCCCGTTGAAGCAGAAAAATATATTTTAAACATGGTGAGTTTTTTAGTCACTGAAGAATCATTGTCATATCTATATTCTATTAACAGACTATTGACTTCCCTTTTTACAAATAAAGAGATTCATCTTTAAAGTTAACTAATACTGTAGAACACTACGCAAACAATATCTGTAAAATACAAATTAATGTTATTCATTAGCAAACTGTATTTTTAGATTGAAGATGGCGAAATTTTTGCAACTATTAATCAAAAGGATGGTATGGTAGTATTTCACGACGATCCTGAGAAATATAATTCACCACAAATGCTTGCAAATTTTGAAAAGGAAATGGCAGCATGCACAGAATTAGATAAACGAGTACTAGAGATGGAAGAGGAAGTTCTCCTTACCCCGCAATATGTTCGCAAAGCTTGTGGACAAAACGATCAGGATGATCAAGCCGCTGGACCTGCACCAACAAATGTCACAAATGCGCAAGGTCAAATTAAACAAAACACTTACTCTATGTAACATATACATGTCGTTGTGTGTTATCTTTATTAAAAAATAATAAGAAATAACGAAAAATCTTGTTGAGAGTCAAGACTTTAATATCTGAAAGCTTGTTTTTTGAATGATGATAGTAATTAGGAAAATATTTTCGCGACTTGAGTGTCGCCTATTTTGTAAAAAATTTACGAATACAAGTTCTTTTATATATAAGTTTTACATATAAGTTGAATTATAAGTTATAATGATATATGTACATATACGTTACAGAGATATTATTTTATTATCATTATTTTACAGTTATATAAACTAATGTGAAAATGCGCTCTACTACAATTATAATAATCGTATACAAAATTACATACAATTTATATCTTTAAAAAATAGCGATCGTTCAACACTATTCATTTATCAAAATCTCTGTAACATATAATTTAAAACTAGGTTTATATAAATGCATGATTATATTCGTGCGCGTATCAAATAGTCAGCTTCTTTAAAGTATTCTCTCATGATACATGTCCATTGTTGTAAAATAATAAATTATTCATTTTATACAAGATAGTTTCAAATTGCTAGTCAGCTTGTAATATATCCAAAACTTGATCAAAACGCTTTTATTAAAATTACGATATATATGCTAGAACTGAAAATTGGTATATATGGCAATATTTTCTTGTAAATTATATTACACTTTTAATATTACTCAAAAATTCAATTTTACATATATGTGTATGCATATATACAAGTTGATTGGTAAATATTATATGAAACGCGTTAAAAGTAAATACACATATATATCAAGGAAAATTTTTTATAGAAGAGTATCAAAGAAGAGCTTATAAATTATTGAAAAATTTTAATTTACAATATTAAATATTTTCACAATATTAATTTAATTTTTTGTATTTTTCGGAATGTGTAAAAGAAAACTTTTTTTTGTTTCAGGCTGATGATACTTGTATAATTTAAATTTAATCACAAGAAGAGTTAAATTGAGTTACATTTTTAAGATAATAATTGACCAATTTTCTTGAAAACCATTTCACAAATTTCTTCCATATCCTTAGATCCATCGATGAATGTTATAGTTTCATACAGCTCGTTATTTTGAATAATTTCATCTTTGTACTTTATAAATTCAGGCCACACTATTTTATCAAAATATCCCGGTACATCAGGCGGCTCATATATACGATTTTTTCGTCGTTCCCAACATTGCTCCTTTGTCAATGTTAAAAAGTATTTACAATCACATAAATCTGTAATGGCCTTATGTTCAAAGAGCAAAAAACCATCTAATATCAGTAACATCTTCGAATCGGTTGAATTTTTTCCGAGAGACTGGAGTATCTTCATAACATCCGAATACATTTTCTGCGTATCCAGACTTGTTGGTAATTCCCAATTTAGGTGATTCAATTCCTGTATCTTAACATGACGTGGATCGTCTGGTGGTAAAAAATAATTATCTTGACGTACCAGAATGGATGTTGGGAAATAATCATGGATCTTATTAGCCAACGTACTTTTTCCACTACAGGTTGTACCAGATATACCAACGACAAACCACTGCTTCACCATTTTTAATTTACTTGTACTAATACTGTAGTAGTATTTGACGTAGTGTAGACAAAGAATTATTAAGTTTATAGTGTTTAATAATTCAGAGTAAGCAAATGATGTAATCTATGCCCCATCCCCTTTCTCATTCTTTTTCTCACTTTCGTTATACCTACTTTAACATTTACATTATTTGTAACATTCATACATGTATATCACAAGCTGTATATATGAGTCATATAACGCAACATATGATTATGAAATGTTACAATGATAACGTAGCCACTATCACTGCATGCCTGATAACTTAATTTACTACTCCATTTTCTATTTTATGAAACAAGTGTGATCTCACATGGTACAAAGTAAAGAGTATCAAACCACCGATAAAAATTAGCCCGAGACTCGCGGGAATTATTAAAGCCAGATCATACGAGTAAAAAAGCGATCTTATTCTATCATCGTCGATGAATGGTAGACCGATTACCCACACAGTATAATAGAGAAACAAGACAAACGTTAATATTAATATCGCTTTTCCTCTTTGACGATCACTATCAAACATTGTTAAGCATTTCTATCTTAATTTTGTTAGTCTACACAATGTGCTGTTCCTTATGATTCAATGTCGTTATCAATATTATTCCACATATTCTTGATCAAATTTCTTGAAGTCTTCTTCTGTGAAAGCTGTTTCTTCTGTTTTGAGTTTCTCTTGTTGAATGTATCTCTTTCCTACAGCACGGTACAGTAACTAAAAAGTATTTCATGAATTAGTTAAGAATATTTGAGATACATAGTGCAACAAATTCTATACTTTTTTTATTTAAACAACTTTATAACTTTAAATAAATGTTTAAGTGTCTTTATACAGTTAATGTCTACAGATTGTTTCAAATCATATAATATAAGAGCATAAAATAAGTACAACAGTATAGAAAATGTATAAATATGAAAAATTTGTTGAGGTTTAAAATTTATAAAACAATTTCTCGTACATTATTTGCTGTTTTAGCATCTACCCGATTACTGCTAAGTAAAAGGAGTCTTTGTACATTATCATCAGTAGGATCTTTTTGAACAGCTAAGCGTTTCTGAGTCTCATAAACGGTAGTTCTGTTAGATCGATCCAAAATAGTATCAAGATCTATAAAAAGAAAATGGATTTAATAGGCCTTCTACAATAAGCCATAAGTCGTAAATCAGAAGAAACTAAAACTTGACTGTGATTCGTCCATTTCTAGTTTATAACTTATAATTTATGACCTATGGCTTATTGTAGAAGGCCCATAATTTCTTTTACTTATGCATATCTTTCAATATATAGCTAATGATATAATACTTATTAAAATGTAATAAAATATTGTAATTAAATAATTTATTATAATTTAATAATCTACAACTATATAAAAAAAACAGTAAATTTCATATAAGACTTAGGTATATTTAAATAATTATAACCTGTTTCTTCGTCTTTAGAGATTATCCTATGTTTAGTAGGAATTAGATCCAAGGCTCCTTTATATCTAATATTCTTACGTTTTTTCTTCTTCTTTTGCTCTGAAAGTTTATTTTATCTGAAATAGATATTTATATGCGCATCGTTTGGTATATGTATAGGCGGTTTCAATAAACTAACCTCTCTGCAAATCTTCCTCGTAACCCAATAATTCTAAGCTTTTGTGCACGAGTGAATTAGACATTTCTCCGAATCTAACTTAATTTATATAATGATGCGGATTATTAGTAGTGCTAAAGAACATTGTAAAATTACCGAACTGTCGAAAGACACGACAAGCACAAGCTTCGAACTTTCGTAGAACTTCAGAATTTATAGTGGAATTCCAACACGTGTAAAACTAGGGTTTTTACAAATTTCGGAAATACACTACACGTCAGTCGAGTCGTATGGGTGTGTAATTACAGCTGTGACAGCCAATATGGCCGATATCGCTCATATGTAAACATGGCGGAACCTACGAACAATTCGGAGGATGACAATCTGTCATGTAAGATCTTGATTATCGGTGCTGGCATGGCTGGATTGTCCGCGGCAACTCATTTATTGAAGAATAACGAAACGGATTTTCTCATCGTCGAGGCGCGCGGACGTATAGGTGGACGAATCGTTGCGGCGCAAGTGGGTACGATCAGTCTAACCTCTCCTTATCTTGACAACTTATTTCTAAATTTATTTACTTTGTGGTATAACAGTGACCGACTTCAAAATTATAGCAACAATATACTAGGAGGTTTGAAATCACTATTTATCTTTAGAATTTTTCAATATGTTTGTACAAATTCTTGTCAATTATGTGACAATAGGAGACAATAGAATTAATGTTTCAAAGCTCTCGCATTTGATGAAATATAAAACAAATCTATAATATAGATGTAATACAAAAATTAATCATATCAACAATTTAAAAAGAAAAAATTGATTCGTATCATTTTGAAGATATTTAATTTTAAATTTTTAGAATTTTTTTATTTTACAAGTAAATATGTGTTTACTCTGTAGATGTTTTCTCTTAAATTGAGTCCTTTTCATATGAGACAGAAATTAAAAAATCGTCATAATTACAAAGTAAACATTTGCGTTTGTTTTGGTAAAGTTTTATCTAAATTGATTATGTAGTTTTAGAGAATTTTATATTTTTCAATAAAAGGAAAATCGAGAACATTTGTTAAATGGACAAGACCTCTGTGATTGTATGATGTACATTTAATGTAATAACTAAAAAAATAAGATAAATTTATAATAAAAATTGTTAATTTATATATTTTTAATTCAGATTAAACTTAATTTATTATATTAAAGGTGTAATAATAAATATATTATATTCATATTATGTTTTCTGCTATTAGTACTAGCATCAAATGAGCATCTTATAATATTTATTTTGTCATTTTTAAAATATTTAATAATATATAAAATTAACAATGTATAATAACAATTGCAAGTTAGACATTATTGATAATACTTTTATATTATTATTTCAATTATTTTACACAATTTCAAGAATAAACTGTCTGTAGACTAGAAAATAGCGCGAACTTCCTTAAGAAAATGTATACATCGATTTTTGGAACAAATATATTTATGTAAATTTTCTATGACATTGATCACAGAATATATAATTTTATATGTAAGCAGGAAAATATATTATTTACATACTTAGCAAACTTAATAAAAGAAAATTTCTTTTGTCAGGCTTTTATAAAAATAATAACAAACATAACTGATGGAAAGATTTTCAATTTTGCGCTGGATCTAAGTACAGAAACCAATCATGTTAAAAAATTACTAACTGATTAATTTTCTCTGCTGAACAGCCATTAAGTTTTTTGTCTATTTATTTCGTCTAGGCAGTGAAAAAGTTGAGTTAGGAGCAAATTGGATCCATGGAGTATTAGGTAATCCCATGTTTGAGTTGGCGATGGCAAATGGTTTAATAGACATTGTACATGTGCCGAAACCTCATAAAGTAGTGGCAGCATTAGAGGATGGAAAACAGTTGCCATTTCCTGTATTACGAGAGATCTATGAGGCTTATGTATGCTTTTTGAGGCGATGCGAAGAATACTTTCTGAGCATGTACAGTCCGCCGGATGGTATAACCAGCGTAGGGGCACATATCGCGCTGGAAGCAGAGATATATCTGTCTTCTGTGCCACCTGAACAACGAAGAATAAGGCAACTGATCTTCGACTGTTTACTGAAGAGAGAAACTTGCGTCACGGGCTGTGACAGTATGGATGATGTAGATCTCTTAGAAATGGGCTCGTACGATGAGCTTCAAGGTGGTAATATTAGTCTTCCGAACGGATATAGCGTTATATTGGAACCAGTTTCAAAACACATACCAAAGGACCGTATTCTTACGAAGCATGTTGTAACAAAGATTAGGTGAGCTTACAGTAATTTGAAAAATGCGTGAGAATACATCAATTTGATTGGCCATGTAACAAAGACTGTAATGAACTTGTTCACTTTTACTTTAGGTGGCAGAAACAATGTTATCAAGACGATGTCGATCTTACAGGAAAATCTGATTTTAAATCAAATAGCCTTATAGAAGTACAATGTGAAAATGGAAAGACGATTACTGCAGAACATATAGTATGTACATTACCGTTAGGCGTTTTAAAAAGGACAGCTAAGGATTTGTTTGAACCGTCATTACCCACATACAAACTGGAAGCAATAAACAGACTAATGTTCGGTACAGTGAATAAGATATTTCTCGAATACGAACGGCCTTTCTTAAATCCTGGTGTATCGGAAGTGATGCTCCTTTGGGATGACGATCGATTATCCGAAGCGGAAAAGCGGGACATTAGTAAGACCTGGTTTAGGAAGATATATTCGTTTATTAAGATCTCGGACACGTTGTTACTCGGTTGGATATCCGGTCGCGCGGCAGAATATATGGAAAAGTTGAGTACCACGGAAGTGTCAGATGTGTGCACGACAATCCTGCGGCGATTTCTCAATGATCCTTTCGTACCGATCCCGAAGAACTGTTTGCGCACCACGTGGCAGTCTCAACCGTACACGCGAGGTTCATACACTGCAATGGCTGTAGGAGCAAGTCAACTGGATATCAGAAGTTTGGCCGAGCCGTTAATTCAAGAAAAAACGGAAAATAACACAGACGAACCGGTCAAAATTCTAGTGGCATTTGCAGGCGAACACACCCATTCCTCGTTCTATAGCACAGTACATGGAGCATATTTGACTGGTCGAACAGCAGCTGAATTACTGTTGGGTACCAAACAGAGTGAGAAACATGCCTTGAGTCTTAGTTGCGAAGATACCAGCGATCTCAGTTCGTGGATACAAGGCATTTCTTTAAATTAATGCACATTTTCTTCAAAAGAAAACTTGTGACATTAAAAACGTTTATAGATGTATTTAGATAATATACATACGCGTTTATGTTTGTGCAATTGTTCTTTTTGTAAATATTATACTAGTGAAACAGTCGTCATTTTACATCATGTACATAAAGGTGCTTCTTAGAATTTTAAAACTTTACAATAACGTGTGCATTTATAAAATCGTATTTTATTAAGGAATAACGAGTAAAGCTTATACCGGCACTGTATATTAGCGATGTCGTATATACGATGTCATAAATGCTGTGAATGATGTCACGTAAAATTCGGAGAAGAAAAAATTTAAATATATATAAGATAGGAATATCCTAAGAATGATAATGAACAATGGTACGCACACGTGTTTGTGCAAACTTTTATTTTATAAAGCCTAGTGAAACGATATAATGTTATTTGCTAAACTCGTGTAGATATATTGAATCGAATCCAAAGACGAGCCTAATTTTAAGTATTTGTGCAAAACATAACAATATTTCTATGATTAATCTTTTCACAATCTATACATACACACACACACACACACATAGTAAATTAATAAGATTTTATGAAGTTTTTTTTTAAATGCATTTATACTATTTGTTCTCAATTTTCTCGTACACGGGTTTTTTAGGTATCAGTTATTTCCTTACTTTTTTATTATTATTACCTATTGTACTTATTGTTTAGTAAAGCAAAGTTTTATCATGCATTAACTTAATCTAGTCATTGAAATTGAGATATATAAAAAGGTATTTAAAAAGTAAATTATATCACGCATGACACTGAAACAATTCTGCAAAGTAGAATAGATGTTTATTTACGTTTTCAGATACGGTTATGTGCCATAAATTGATTAGTATTATTTTTTAAAACGTTAAGTGAACAAAGAAGATACAAAACGTCTATCTTTTTGAAATAGTTCAACTATACATGCATATGTGAATTCACATAATTAATGAAAATAAAAGTCATTATTTATTAATGAACGTTGCACTTCTTGGTTTATATTTCTTTAAATTAATATAACATTTATAAAAAATAAGGCTAATATTTCATGTTATCAAGTTAGAAAAGAAATACATATAACAATATTAGTTAACGTTACAATCGTATTGATTTTTTATCATATCTATGAAAAAGAAATAGCAAATTTATATAAACAATATAAGAATTTTATTAAACCGTACACGTGAGAACACAACCAATAAGAAATAAGAATTAAAGCTCAAAGTCGTATAACTGTTGAAACAATTAAGATTTTTGTTGCTTAAATAATTTAAATGTGAATTATATATATACTATTTATGTACAATATAACAACATCACAACCGTGCATTGGTTAACAATTTAAAAATTTAATTTAACTTTGGTAACTTTAAATTTAATTTCGGTAATTATTTAAAATATCCTTCGCACCTAAAATTTTAATAAAAATATACTCATTTGACGCATTTTCTTTCAAAATGAAAGAATCTGGTAAAAAATCTAGCGGCAATCGGCCTCGTGAACCGAGATATTAAATATTAAAATTATGTGCGTGAAGTTAGCACCGCCATTTTGTAAAAGAAAATAAAAATAAAATTGTGCTGAATTGTGCTAGATTTGTATTATAATATATTTTGTTGCAAAGATTTTAACCGCTCTTTCATAACAACAAAAGTTAGGACTGAAAATAGTTTTGCCTTTTGTGCTCGATTTTCTGCCCATAAATCGGGCAGATAAATTTGTAGTGCTTCAATGTGAATATATATTGCAAATCTGAATTGTGCTAGCTTAGCACAAGTCAGCACAATCGTTATATTCGCAGGCACAACGATATTAAGGGCATTTTACTCTTGTAATCTATCTAAGTTGTGCTATAAGAGAACACAAGTTTCTTTTTTTTGGATTATCTATTATTTATTTTGATCAAATTTAAGATAGATGATTATCTATATGTAGAATCTGTTATTAATTTCAAATTTTTTATTTTATAATGCAGTTAAAATAATTCAAATAAATTCGCTCAAATTTATCCATCCAACAAAAGGATTTGACAAACAAATATTATTTTTAATATAATTTTTTAAAAATAATTTTTAATCATTATAACAAAGAAATAATTTAAACAAGAAAAAATTATTTTCTTTTTTTTATTTAAACAATAGTTTAGATATAATTACAGTTATGATTTATACAATATACATATATATATGTATATATTATATATTTATAATAATAATTATTATAACTTTATTATTATTTATTATATAATTTTATATGTATAATATACTACAATATGTAATTATCACTATAGCATATAACAATTTTTGATGACACATAATTATACTCTGTAATGTACGATAATATCATAAAAATGATATATTGATAAAATATTATTCAATATTGTTTTATTTTTATGATTAAAAGTTATATTTTCGTCTTACAGATGATAATTTTGTGTTAATTTAATAGGCAACGTAGAAAGAGATAAATATTCGAATTTCTCTGTATCTGAAATCATGATTTTTTTTAGTGTTAAAAAATCATATTTATTTGTATGATTTTTGAAAACTAAAAAATTTATTCTAATATTTTTTCTATTCATTATTGTCATCAATTTCTTTGCTTCTCTCTCTCTCTCTCTTTAACTGTCTTGTTTGTTTATTTTATAGTGTATAAAATTAATGATTTAAATTTTTTGCATGATTAACATAAGCTGATGCATGCCCATTAAGATTCCTTATCGATAAACGGCTACATTGAAGATCAAAGATGTAATCAAATACGCATTATATAGATCGCTTATAATTAACTATTATAACGCTATAAACTATCACATTTAATTGTGATACAAAAATTAATATCGAGTAATTGTCAACGTCTTTAACGTACGAGCGAAAAAGATTTCGTATTAAATAGACGTGCCAATGACTATGTGCGATATTTAGATTGACTCATTGTCGGGTAAGTCGCCCTAACTTCGTACGTGCACGGAGCAACGATTGAAATAATCGCTAAGTAAAACAGCGCGATGTCTTCTCAGAATGTAAAAAATATACAAAACATTTCTATGTAAAGTTCATCATAATTCGACATTTGAGCCGCTACGACGGACGTATCGATTGAAGTAATCCGGTCGCCAACATTTACAGCTTCCCGGTACTAAGAACCAATCGTAATATAGCCGTACCTAAAAAGGAATAAAGAGATATAAAAAATTAATGAATTTATTAAAGAAAATCATCCATTAATTTATAGATAATATTAGACAATATCGATCGATGTACTACAAAAAGAATTTTTTTTAACTATAGATAAAAACCAATTGTTTGCGAATAAATTATACTTTGTAAAAAGTAATCTTCAATTACTGACATTTGACCGCGTTGGAAGTAGGTAAATGAATGTAAGAAAAGCGAAGAAGCATTAGCTCTTACTTGGAAGCAACCCATTTCATCGACACCATCACAATGATGTTGAGAACCGCCGTTGTTACGTGCTTCTCCCGTGCTCGCGCGTTTCTGCAAATATTGCTGATAATTTTGAAAATCGTGAACTGGTGGTGGTGATCCGGCGACGGGATCTCGAGTAGCAGACCCGATACCGGCACCCCCTTGATTATCTTCTAAGAACGTGTCCGGGTAAAATATTTCAGCGACCAATAGACTTGTCCACCTTGGCGACGATAAACATCCACCGTCCAAGTAATGGCACCTCGATTGCCTACAATGACGATGAAATTATTAATTAACTCTGGACTTTAGACGGCTTACTGCGAATTAATATAATCGGAAGACGGAAGCCTACATGCATCTGGTGAGTTCAATTGTCTGCGTAAAGTAACCTTCGTAAGGTATCTGCACCACGTATCTCCAAACACCTTGATAATTCTTAGCGAAGACCGGAGTCGCGTACTCGACTTTGGCTGGACATGGTGTCGGCGGGCCCGTATATTCCGTTTTCTCTTGCGATGGAACGCGTTCTCCTCGCCGATAATCGGACGTCGAAGGTTCGTCCCGGCGTTCGATGATCGATGCCGACGACGTGATCGGCTCGCCTTGAATCGCTTTAAATAACATGCACATCCTATTTGCAAAAACAGAACAACATTATTAGGATTGCGTTAATGTACTATCTGTAAGTAAACTCTAAAGGAAACGACGATCGTCCCGCTCGTTTAAGGATCTTCTCATCTTTTTCTCTCTTTTCAAAAGGAAATTATCTTTATTTTCCAAAATTGTATAATTTAAAAACTATCGATTCCTCGATACCTCCGGAAAATTGATATCAAGTTTTGCAAAAGAAAATCCACAAAAAATAGTCCATTATACGTGACTACTTAATTTCTAATGTTGCGAATTTAATATGTGTATATAAATAGAACTTGAAACATGAGACACGTAATTGATACAGTACATTAGTAAAATATGTACTTACACTCCGCTACCGTTATCGCAAAATTTTCGACCATGTCGATTGGAATCCGTGACTAAAGTCGAATCCATTGGACTAGACCTCTTGCTCCTATCATGTTTTTCTTCTTCGTCTATATCAACGCTACGGAGAGAGAGTTAGTTGTGTGTGTTAGTTGGTTCAATATACCAAATTGATGCAGTATCCATTATTGAGGATGGTACGTATATAAAATACTGAGATTTCATTTATAAACTTGACAAGTTGAGAATGCAAATTGTAAGAACACTATATATACACTTACGAATTTTGTGACAATGGATGCACTTTGGCGACTTTTGGCAGCGAATCGTCAGCCTTGAGGATTGGTAATGCCTTACTGAGGAACTTAAGAGTGTGGTTTTTTATCAGTGCACTGCAGAAAAAAATTACAAACGTGGCTAATTTAATAAAAAATTGTTTAATGTCGCGATCTGAGAATATTATACAATTGAATATATATTGACTCTATATTTAATTGATTATTTTCTCTCACTTACAAAGGATATGACGAGCCATTTACGTATTGGTTCATTGGATTTCGCGGAATATAGCCTTTATTTAAATCTCCGCATATATTATGTATTGAAACGTATCCTTTTCCATGTTTATCGCTACCTATAGAAAATATAGTATTATATAAATGACGAATATATAAAATATCATTAGTATCGAAGAAAGAAATCAGGACATTCACATAACAGTTTGAGATAAGTTATGTCGTATTATTATACAATAACGAGAGATTTCCTTAGTTATTCAGAATGTAGATTTTAACTATTATAAGAACTAATAATCACGGGACAGAGAGTTCTTGTAAATAGTATTAAATATAATTGTAAACAAGAATATTGAAGCAACGATATAACAATTTCTTATAGTAATCCATTTTGATCTTGCTTTGCTTATTCCGGATCTTATATACCTACCGTAACATTCTTTATCGCTGTCAATGTAGGGCGGTGGCCGAACTCTCGGTGGTTCCGCATTCGGTGATTCGACGAATGCGTAATATCCCTCTGGAGGCTCTTCCGTTCGCGTGGACTCGTCATTAACGACTGGTTTGATATTTTTAGACTCATCTTCGGCATACGATGATGCACACAAGAGTATCATCTAGACGATAACAATGCATTGTGTTTTACAAAAGAAAGTAATAATTATGGAATTAAGATACATTGACGTCTTCTCAGTGTCACTCAGTTTATGCGGGACAAAACTGATCATAATAATAAAGCTTTATCACATACACGAGAATTGCGGTATCCGAGATTATCGGATTATCTCAGTAACAACTGAATCAATCAATCTGAATACAGGCTCAATCGTTAGTTTTAGTTTAAATTATATACTATAATTTTTTATTTCTTCTTTGCATGTCGTATGAGCAAAGATATAGATGTATAATTGCTTATGGTTTATATTATACATTTCGCAGATATACACATGGCATGTATTTAAAATATTTTTATATAAAACACAATAACATTTTGCAATAAAAGTGTATTTTATATTTTGTATTTCAGCGACGTACATGAAAGTATTACGCATTTTGTGTTTAAAATTATAAAATGAAAGTTTTATTTCGGAATTTAAATAATAAGATTAATTATTAATAGCGTTTTTCACTAGGAGATAACTGGTGCGCACTCCAGTGTACATTAAAACCGTCATTCACTACTCTAATCTGAATGTAAAAGTGAGATATCTGAATTAATAAAATGCCTGTATATTTTATCGAACTACATAATAAAATGTATTGAGGATTTAATTCACGTTTCTGTTTTTTTATTAAACATATATCTTTACATCGATTTGTGTACAACGGCTTTAAAGTGCATTGAGTGCACACTGGTTCTGTCAGTGAAAAATGCTATTACTATTTGAAATACAAAATACAAAATATTTTTATATGCTCCCATGAAATATAAAATGTCAAATATTTTTATGTGCACCATTGAAATATAAAATACAATTGTCTTACAAATACAGTTATTCAAATAAAAATATTTCATGCCCAGCTATGTGAGTATAATTATTTTAATTATACATGTGTGTATTTACTAAAAAAAAAAAAAAAAAAAATAAATTAGCTGAGAAAACCTGAAGAAAAATTTACTCAATAATTTTTAGCAATACGTTGCAACTAATGGATCGATTTCTTCGAAAAAACAAAACGCAAAAGATTCGACAAATACATAAATATCTAAGCCAAGTATTATATAATAAATAATTTATGAATAATATATGTTTTTGAATTTTGTCGCAATCGTAATTGACTCGTGTTTGATTTTTCGATCTTTTCGCTGTAACGTCAAATCTTTCTTTTATCTTTACATGGGTAACGGCTAACAGGTATTACGTTATATCGCGTCGGCACCGACGATGATTACGAGATATTCCTTCGAGTAGTTACCGAGGTATGCGTACGATGCTAACGGTACACGGTCCACAATCCACGCTTCTCGCTGCGGGCTGTTCAGCCTATTTTATAACGTGCGTGTTACTCGAGCGTTGCCCTACTAACCGAGGCATTATACCGTTTTACTGAATCTTCTTTTACACATTCAGGGACTAACAATTCAAGAGAACAATAATGAAGATACACGTGCAGATATGCACGTTTACATGCGTTCTTTTTATCTAATTTTCCATACATCCTTAAAGGGGACGACATTACGTTAAATTATATTTATGACATATTGCGAGTTCATCTGTTAATTTTTCAAAGATCGAGAACAGATTTCGCATAGAAAATAACAATGCATTTCTATTAGCGAAATAATATTATTGACAATAATAATCTATCCGTAGAATCATTCATATTTTGCACAATTTTATTATCTGATTGAACTATAACGTGCAATAGCCCGGTTTATTTCGTTTTCAACTTGCTCTATGTGTACAAGAAGATGTAATTATTATAATTAGCCCTTATTAAACTACGGTACAGGTCGGTGGAATTTGATGATCTTTAATGTAAGAATTCTTCTCGTTGCAAAAGGTGGATGTCCGTCCTACTTTCTTATAGTAGATCTGAGCGTTAGGAAGTGCCGATACAGTTACGAGGACAATGACGTCTCCGAACCGGTATCGACAGAAACGGCAGACTCGATTTGTTTAGCAGGACACGACTGATGATCGCCAATGATCGGATATTTTGTATCCGTTAGTTTTCAGAAAACAATTCTCTTTCTCATATTGCGTCACTTTTACAAGAAAAATGCATTGCTATATATATATATATGACGATTGTACGTAACTTAATAATTGTCCCTTTAATATTTAGTTTTAGAATATAAAATCACAGAGTTTGATGTTGCAGTGTCAAATTTGATTTCTTATAATTTGTTTTCGTTTGCAAATCTGATTCTTGAGATTTGTTTTATTTTTATTTGCAGATTTTCTCAACTCGGGGTTTAAAGTTAAAATTTATTATAAAAATGTTTGAGGACCTCCGAATTTACACGCAATAAATTTTAGCTCTGAAAATCTATTCTTTATTAAATTAAAGAAAAAAAAATTTTTCAACGAATGATTAAAATTACTTTTCTTTTCATCTCGAATTATAGAAAATAAAAGATTATAAATAAAATGACACCTGCGTGTCAAATTTTGGCTAAAGGAAAGGAAATATTGTTTGGAAATTTTTATCAAAGAATCCAAAAATAAAAAAGAATCTAGAGAAGTTAAGGTCTATAATCTATACGATTCGTTTGTTGCTCAGGTCTTAAAGAGTGAATGATAAAAATAATATTCGTAACTTACAACAAACGTACGAAATTCCATGGCGTGTTAATTCACTGTAAAGACCAAGGAAGGAAGAAATTTCCGTTTTATAATTGCCGCGGCTGTCAAGATGAGTTTTCTCGAGACTACCTCGCGAGCCGGTCGGACCTGTCTACCAGCCAACGGTCATAGCAAAACTGAATTTTACTCTTCACCTGCATTGCGTTGCTCAAGGGGCCGCTTACCTTCACCTCGGCCATGTATGTACTTGACCGTCGTGCTGTAGAGGAATGCATACGGAGGTATGGGAGACTTCGGTATTCAACCCGTTAAAGGCCACGAATTATAATACGATCAAAATCATGATCTATATATAGCTACCATGAAAATAATCCGTGGCAAAAAATAAGACAGAAGTGCAGTAAAATTTTTGTAAGAGATTCCTTTGAAAAAAGAAATTGATCTTAAAGCATCGTATTTTGTACAAAGAATTTAATTGTTACTTAAAAAAGAATTTTTATTTTATATTTATGATTTATTAAAACAAAATAATTAACTCTCTTATCAGAGCATACGTTGTCAATGACGTAAAAAGGTCTATCGCAGAATTTTAAGAGTAATCACCATGAACTAATTACAAGTCGAAAATTTTTATATTTAAAATTGTATGGACAGTACGCGCATTAATATGCAATTAGTACGTGTGTTTGTGATTCATGAGAAATTCAAATGAGAAATAGCAAATGACCTAAAACATTGTACCTCATCTTGATACGTTTAGAAGCATGGTTGATAGCAACATAATTGAATCAAATGATGACAGATTCAAAGCGTAAATAGCGATCGATAAGTCACATTCAACTCCGTCTTGTTCTTGCAATAAATTATAATACTTTTCAACATCATGTTTGATTCATCGTAGCGGAAATTGGAAACAATCGAAACAGGTTTATCCAAGGGAAATTTGTACGACTTATAGTATCAAATTTGTAGCCACCAAAGACGCAGAACATGGTAGGAAGCAGTTTTCCTTCAATCGGATTGATATATGTGAAAATCTGGAAGGACGTACTCTCCTTCTTGCCCTTCGACAAGAGCAGACGTTCGAGGAATTCGTAGATTCTTTCTGCGTACGAGAAGTTATTAGAGCCATCCATGAAGGCCTTAAGGATTTCCTTGTATATTTCGCTCAGTTCCGAATCGGGCGTGGCGAAAAAGCAATCTCGACTGTTTCGGACAATCTTGTTTCATACCGGCGTTCACTGTATTGCAAGGTAGAAAATTGAATTACTGTTTTTTTTTCCATATCCTGCACAAGCGCATTGAGAGTAAAGATTGGCTGATAATATGGTTCAGCATTTTTAATTAATTGCAGTAGCCAATTAAAAATGCTATACCATATATGATATTTTACTATAATTGTTTATTTTACTATAATTTGTTGCAGCAACTAATCTCTTCTTTCAGTATACGATTGTATAATGAAGTATGATATATGTATAGTAAGAAATTAAATTGAATACTAACGATCGCGCGACTACTCATAGTTGTCCATTTCATAAAAGTATTTTGCGTTTTCAACGAAATCAATTGGTTTAGGATGAATGTCGTACTTTGGTCCGAGGAAAATGCGTATCACGGCTTTTGTAGATTTCTCGGCGTTGATAGCGAGATGGAAGCTAAACGGCTTATGATTCAGACGAATTTTGATCAACGTGTTTTTCGCTTCCTTCGAATCATCAATCATCAAACCGTTGTTGATTGAAGTATCGAATTAATCAAAATGCACGTACAAACACGCACATGATACGGATTTTTTTTACATAATATGATTTCTGTAATTATTCTGCATGTAAAAATATTAATAAGGTAACACTAATGAAAAGTTAATAGTTTTCCATTCTTATTTTTTTATTGAAAGAATACGCTCACAAATAATCGTATAGTGGTAGTAAGTCACATATTTCTGTGTGTATGTTTATATGTATATCATAGAAAAATATTCAAATTTAAAGAAATTAAATTCTTGTTTGACTATAATACGTATATATTATTTAATTATTCAGTGCTGATCGGTATTTAATATTTCTTTTCATTGTTGTTTCTTCTTACGTTGTTCCATCTTTTCTCTTTTAAATCTTGTTCTACTCTCGTTAATTATATGTATCTCTGTACAAACAGAGAGCATGCAGAATACATAATGAATAAATGTATCAGATAATTAATAGACATAAACAAAACTTTTTCCTTCCTATTGAAATATAGGAAGGAAACTAAATTAAATAGAAGAGATTTTCTCCTTTTTTATAGGTAAAGAAAAATGTAAAGACTGGAACAGAATATATACATATATGAAGTGAGAGAGAGAGAGAAAGAAAAAGAAAAAACCCAGAGCAGAGATAAATAGCAAAGGATGTTTCTATTAAATTTATTTTGGGTGCAATTTATGTCGCACCAGATGATTATACACTTGATGATGGAAAAACACTACTGCACTTCTCTTATTAATTTATATTATAAGTCTCTTTTCTATTCAGTGCGAATAAATGCTTGTCCCAGCGATCGCACGTGTTAAATAACTATACATAATAAAATATGTATAAGCGCAAAATATCATTTGACACAATAACGGAGCACAATGACGAGCTTTATGCGGTGAGATTCAGTTCTTCTGCCTGCTTGTGGAAAATCAGAACGTCCCTCATGTGGAAATTAGGTACAGAGAAGTTGAAGGTATGAATCGGTCTGTCGAGCGGATATCCTAACGGTCGAAGATCCATTATCCTTGGACCCCAAATGAGGGAATCTACCTTGGTGGCTTTCGTCTCATCAAAATGCGATACGCACACGAAAAGTTTAAACAACATGCCTTCTTTCTTGCCTTTAGGAAGTATCAAACGGTCGGGGAAACCATAAATCTGACCTGGGTAAGTGAAAGTCTCGCCACCCTCGATAGCTTTCACGACCTTCTTGTACAGAACCTCGCTTGGCACCTCATCCGGAACGACGTAGATGGACTCGTAGCTATTACGCTCAATCTTGTTGGTTCCAGATTTCACTGTAACAATCAAAGGATACTAGTTACAGCTCTAATTAAAAATTGATTTGAAATAAATATCATACATATGTGTTTGATTGAGAAACGTAAATTTAAGAAATTTTGTCGATTAAAAGGATTTCTTAGCAAAGGAGATATTTGAAAGAGATACTAACGGTCAACGTTCCATTGATCCATCTCGATAAAGTTCATATAATTCTCGCTCATATCCAGTTCGTGGCCGTGAACATCATGTTTAGGTCCAAGGAAGACACGGACGACCGCCTTAACATTTTTGTTGCTGTTGATGGTGATGTGATAGGTGAAGGGTTTATGATTCAGACGATACTGACGTGCCTTTATCAACAAAGATTGAGCCTCCTTGTGACTGCGTATCGATACGGCGTTGTTGAGCATTGATTCAAAGTGGTCGAAGAAAGTCAATAGCTTGTCAACGGTGACGGATTCGATCGTAACACCCGGGAAAATAAGCTCCTCGTGTGTGTAGCTCGGCAAGTGTTCTTTATATCTACGTCGGAGAATATATACGTTAAATAAATTATTTTTATAGCTATATATTGGATTGTGCAAGTCGCAAATTTAAGTCGCACCTCATCCAGTAAGTAGCGATATTCTTCTGGATTCCGTAGAACACGGGATCCCTTAGGGTGGTGGAGAAGAGTTCGAGAGCAGTGGGAACTACCGTGTGTCTGGTGACCTGAACCGGGCCTATACCGAGGACCTTCCTGTATAAACGTTCCAACTGTCCGTAGTATACAGGATTGGCGGAATCGGCATTGCCCTGTATCACGTTGCCAAGATAGTTGAAACCATCTACGGTGTAAATGTCAATGTGTTTGCCATGCGTGTCAACGACGTAGCCTTTGTCAATAGCATCAAAAATGCGAGTGTGGACATCTTGTATGGCCTATGGGACAATTAATTTTAACACATTTTGCATGTTTCAGAAAGTCTACTATGCGTTGCTTTAAGTTAAAATTAATATTTAATTTTTTATTGTGTATATATATTTGTTGAATAGATCACATTATTTTTGATTGAATATAAAACTATTTTATTTAAATAGAAATTTAAATTAATGTGAATAAATTAAAAACAAATATGACAGGTAATGTGAGTCAACCGCTGGTTATAATTTGCGAATAATTTTAAATATATATTACAAAGCTAAGCAACCTTTATTTCGATGACGTTTATAAATTTGCTTCTCGAACGAAGCTTTGTAATATATATTTAAAATTATTCGCAAATTATAATCAGCGGTTGACTCACATTACCTGTCATATTTGTTTTTAATTTATTCATTAATTTGTATTAATTCTTAATTTGTATTAATCATTAACCAAACTTAATAGGTTTGTGCTATTTTATTCATTCTTTAGAAATTTAAATATAAAAAATATTTTGTATTTTTATTTAGACTGTATTCTGATAACCATTGCTAATATTGAAACTTTGTTCATAGTAACTGGTATTTTAGTGAATATTGAAATGCATTCTTAATAACAACATCAATATTTAAAATGCATATACATACATATAAAAAAATCTTAAAAATTATATTATAAGAAATAGAAAGATTAATATAAAAAATTATAGAAAAAGGATTAGATAAATTTAACGTAAAGTAGAGCTTGCTGTAGACTTTTAAGTCTCAATACTGATTGTTAGATTTTATATTAATTATTAAAATATAATTTTTTAATCTAATTACTTTAATATTACAAAACAAAACTTTATTTTGAAAGTTAGTAATGAGTATTGAATTATTTTTACAAAAAGTAACGATAATGCATTATTTTTGTAGAATAATTAATTCTCAATCCTGGATATTTTTATAATCCTTGTGATATTTGTGTGTGAACACTTGGATAGTCAATAATTGATAAGGAAACATTTTACCAACCTGGATATGTTTATGCGCGTGAAGAGGAACCTCGGAACCAACGTGACGTTGTGGGAACCGCAATCCATTGTGATGCTGCATCGTTGGATAGTAGCCGGGTACAACAGGTTTGTTCACATCGACGTACGTAATCTCACCAATATCATGGGACAATCTTTCCAAATAGTAACGATTGAGCATTTGTCTGTGGTTGAACATATATGATTCACCACGAATGTGTTGGAGCATATTATAGTGAGTGCTGTTCATCCACATTGGGAAATTGTGACTCATAGCAAAATAATAGGTACTTAAACCAATATCCTCAAGGTAGTAGCTTAATTTCTGTTGTTCCGGCATTTCATTTTCAAACATATGCCAAGTGGTGTAATTAGAAAGAATGTAATAATAGTCTGCATTACCAATTGTTTTCTTCATACCTACCGAATCAAATAATTTAAATCAATATTTTAATATTAATATGTAACTTAATTTTTATTGCTATATGTATATATGTATATATTGTCTCGTGCAAGCTAATTTGATTTAATCTTGATAATAAAAGAGACATAGGAAAAAAACACTTCAGCAAAATTCGGAATTTCAGTTCAATTTTCAGTGATCTTTTAGTAGTATAGCTAAAAAATACCAGCCTGCTTGCGAATCGCCCATCGCAATACGATAGGCCTTATGTAAAATGTCTTCGTTGAAGAAATCATGCGGGAACACCTCGTAAATCGGAGGTAGAAGGATGTTGTTGGTATCCGGTCGATGCATCACGGCAACACTCAACACGTATAAGTACATACGTTCGTTCATGTGGAATCGTGCCCATACAGCAGTATTGTAGAAAGTGTCAAAATCTTTGGCGGAATATAAAACGCGGAAGAAGCAAACAGCTTCTTGGTAATGCTGAGGATGAGTTTCAGAAAACATTTCCCCCCGTGGGAGCATTCCGTGTTTCCATCGCTGCAGAAATTCGGTCACTGCTGCCTAGAATAATAAATCAACATTAGAAAAATTTTATTTTTTTTTTTAAATTGAATCAGGAAATCAACTTGTTCGAGATTTTAGTAGTTTCATTTTGTTCAAACATATATTATTATTATATATATGTATAGAATTATAGATTTATAAAACATGATTTCCTTTTATATCTATAATACGAACTATTTTTATTTTTAAAAATGATTTTATTATTACCGAGAGCGAGTAAAAGACAGGAAGATTAATTATTTTTGTCTTAAAAACAGAAATTAAATTTGCAGTTTATAAAAATGCAAAGATTAAAAAACGCATAATATAAGAAAGATTATAATAATAAAAAAATAGTTTACTATACAACGTTTTTTTATAAGATCGCGCGCCTTGTGAAGATCTAGCTTAACTGTTTAGGGTACGCGCTTTTTATATTTCCTAAATAATTTTATATGCATATACAATACATATATACATTATATATAATATATATATAAGTAATATATGTATATGTACATGTATTGTATATATACACATATACATTGCTATATAAATAAGTACCTGATCTGTGAAAGAAGCAACGTTATCTTCGAGGCTGAAGGATCGCGCTTTTTGGTAAAGTTCCGGATGGTAGACGGTTGGTTGATCAACATGCCAGAAGAGCTCGTAGATGCTCTTCTGCTTGAGAAGGTATGTCTTGTCGGCGGTCTGAGTGGGCACCTGCGTGGCATGGGCCAGGCATGCCGCAGCCAAAAGCAGCGTAATCACTTTCATCCTCGTGCTTGCTTCACAAAGGATCGACTGGCGCTATTCGTTAATTGCTTTATATACTCTCTATCGACAAAGGAGATACATACAAAAGTTCGAAGTGCAAGATTAAAAAAGCCATGAGGTAACCAACGTACCGATAATAACCAATCTTTTCGTTATTTTTGTAATAATTATCTTTATTGGTAATCGTCTACCCTTTGACATAATGGAAATCGGGGATTCATATTTGTTGATTACACTGAATCTACCTCATGTTATTTATTTCAATCGAAAAATAATTTTTTAAGTCTGTCAAAATGTCTCTATCGAAATCTACATAATTATTCAAAGAATCAAAATATTTGGATCCTTTGAATAAAGCTAAGCGTTATGGTTTGCAATTTAAAAATATCATAAAATTTTAATATCATAAAATTAGTTTTCTGGAAAATACTTCAATTATTTAAAAAAATATTAAACTATAGGCGAAGAGAGAGAAATAATACAAATTACAATATAATATTTATTTTATACAACAAAAAAAAATAATACTTTATATTTCTATTAATTGTCATGCTTTTCTACATCAATAATATCTTTTCAAACAATTGAAACTTATATTGAAAATTAAAATACATATAAATATTTGCTTTGTATTATCGATCAATAAAAAGCAGTTACTTTTAATTATATCTTTTAGGGAAGAATATCTTTTAGGGAAATTGTAAGAAACTTATATTTTTTAAATGTCTGATTCTGAGAGAATCGATTTTCATAACATGTCATAACAAAAAAAGGCTATGTATATTCAATACAAACGCAAGATATACATATAATAAAATCTTAAAAACTTTGATAAATAACTTAATATAATGTATTTTGGTTTGATGACTGTAAGATAGCTATCGATAGTACAAAGCTATTGTATGTTTGATATCTCAAAATTAAAATAAAAATTTGGAAAGCAGGAACATAAAAACTCTTTGAGGATTTTAATTATTTTGTAATAAAGCAACATAATAAATTCTAAAAATACAAAAAAATGACACTTAACATTTTTAGCAACATGCGTTAAAAAAAATAATAATAAAGTATATAGTTAAGAAATAATGTATATTAATGTCATTTTATATTTTCCATATAAACTACGAGTAGGTATAATTATGCATAATATAAAGCCCTTTCCAAATTTTGACATTTTCGGCTGCAATGTTGATAATAATTCTTATTATGACTTAGATAGCAGTAATCAATTGGGGGAGGTCGAAAAATATGTAATCTACCTATTTTTTGATCATTAATTTATTTCCAATATTGTTTCTATAGTGCGATTTATTACATGCGTTCGATTTTTCCCCCTGAAACTGATTGAAACCGAAACTGAAATTTCGATTGGACTCTAATAATTACCAATTAATGAACATTTGTGTTTTAAGATGTGTAGTAAGATTTATAAAACACTCTTTATAAAATATTAGACTTTAATACAATATATTGTAAAAAAATAAAATTATAATGCACTATCATGATTTTTGAAGCATGCTCTTTATGATATAAATTAGCTTTGCCTACTTTGTATTTTATTTGTTATTATCATAAAAATTTGATGTCTATTAAAATAAGACTTTTCATGAATTTTTTAAGTCCAATTTTAGTTTTTTTTTAAATTAAATGTAAAAATAAAAAGAAGAGAAATTAATTACAAATTACAGAAAAGTCCAGTGTTATGGAGAGAATGCTAAAAAGCGCTATGCCTTGTAGATCTGTAAAATAAATAATTATATATTCAAAAATGTATTATTGAATATACTTTTTTTTATATAATTACTCTGGATAAAAGTGTATTATTGAATAGATATAATAAGGAAATAAGACAGATTTAAATAAGCAAGAAATAAATATTTGTAAGACACATAATTTTTCGGTATTCTCTTTATCAAAAAGAAATTTTTAATTCATATCACTTGCGTGATTTAGAGCTCTAAACGAGTGGGGGGGGGGGGGG